GCAAGGAAGGAAGGAAGGAAGGGAGAAAGGAAGGAAGGAGGAAGGAAGGAAGGAAAGAACAAAGGAACAAAGGAAGGAAGGGAGGGAGGGAGGAAGGGAGGAAAGATGGAAGAAGTAAAGCAGGGAGGAAAAAAGGGAGGGAGGGAGGAAGAAAGGGAGAGAGGGAAGTAAGAGAGAAAAGAGAGAGACAGAAAAACACAGAGATTGGTTCTAGACTTTCATAAGGAAAACCCACTGTTTTGCACAAGGGCAGCAGGCATGGATTAGTAGTAAAGCCTCTGCCTAGCAAACATGAGACCCAAAGTTCAAATCACAAAATAGCCAAAACAAAAAGTATTTAAAGCAAATCCTGGATATGAGAGAAAACTCCATTGGCTAACAGACACCCCCAACTCCATTAAACTAAGCCCTCCTGTTAGTGATAGTTCACAGTAGCAAAAATAATAAATTGAAAATCTGTAAATGGAAACTTCAACAACTCTGGTAACAAGGAGTAGGAATGTAGATTTCAGTACTGTCAGAAAAAATAACCTAAAAGACATGTGTGGAATATTTTATCATAAAGACGCACAAGACACATGTTTCTAAGCAGCTTATAGAATGTTATCAAAATAGACCAAATTTATGGGATAAAGCCAGTCATCACAGATACAAAAAAAAAAAAAAAAACCACATTGTATCATATTTTTCAGCACTGGAGTTTTATGTCAAAGCCTCACATTTGTTTGGCAGGCCTTCCATCACTGAAGCCATATCTCACCCTTCTTTATTTTTATTTTTATATAAAAGCTTTCATTCCTTATCTTCCCGCCCCTCCCCACCCAGCCTTGTGACCTAGCCTCAGATAGGCATCCTTTTACATATGGAGGGGGATTTGGAGGGGGGACGATGGGAAGGAATGGGAAGGGGAAACAAAGGAGGAGGCAGCAATGCTTGATAAGAAATGTATTCATCACCTTACTCATGTAATTGTAACCTCGCTGTATGGTATTTTCACAATAAAAAAATAATAACAATTAAAGAAGAAAATAAACATAAAAGCCCAGTCGGGCGCCGGTGGCTCACACTTATAGTCCTAGGTACTCATGACACTGAGATCTGAGGATCACGGTTCAAAGCCAGAATGGGCAGGAAAGTCAATGAGACTCTTATCTCTAATAAACGAGTAGAAAACTGGAAGGGACGCTGTGGCTTAAGCAGTAGAGTCCTCTACTTCAGCTGAATAGCGCAGGGACAGGGCCCAATCCCAGAGTTCAAGCCCCACGACAGAAGAAATATAAATAAATAAATAATGAATAAATGCCCTTAGTGAGACATTTAAAACTTTGAAAATACAACAGCAAAAGCTTAGAAGATATAGGAAAGTCAATGACTTCATGAACGGGATTCTAGAAGCACAGAAAATAAGCACAAGAATTTCCTAATTGAATCACAGCAAATTAAAAACACAAACAAACAGATGTAATAGATAATTTCAAGTATCGGTTAATGTCTCTTTTTGCTAATCTCCAAACCGCGAGATATCTAGTATATATGAATCCAAAAATCTAAATGTTAAAAATCAAATAATGTAATTAAGTTTTAGGCAATTGAATGGACACCATTAAAAACAACAAATGGCAACTATACACACGAAAAATGTTCAACATCTTGAGTTGTTAAAGAAATGCATGTCATAAATATACAGAGATTCTATTTCACCATAGTGTGAATCACTATTACCATGAAAACAAACAATAAATGCTGATGAGCATGCAGGAAAAAAAGATTATGCATAGTTTGTTGGTGGGAATGTGAATTAGTATAATCACTAAACAAGTCATTATGGAGATTGCTCAAAAAACTAAAATCAGGGCTCAGAAGGGGGCTCAGTAGTAGCCTGCTTGCCTTGCATGCATGAGGCCCTGTGTTTAATTCCTCAGCACCACATAAGCAAAAAAAGATGGAAGTGGCTCTGTGGATCAAGTGGTAGAATGCTAGCCTTGAGCTGAAGAGCTGAGGGACAGCCCCCAGGCTCAGAACTCAGGCCCCACAACTGACAAAAAAAAATACAGTCTGCACATCTTTTGACAAGGATTGATTTGACAACTTGAACTGAAGTACTCAGTGAAGTTAAGCTATTTCCTTTATGCAAATACTGAACAATCTGGCAAAGTCTTCCATGAGGATAACAGCTCTAAAAAGAGTTTCAGGACCTTGGGTAAAACATCCCTGTCTTGTTAAACCAACAGAATTTAATAACTTTTATACAACACACACATTCACACACACACACATAATGTTCATATACATAGCATAGATATAAACATGAGGGGCAAGAACTTATAATTTTCATAAACAAATACTGTTAGAAATAAAGAAACGCTATCCATTGCCCCAAGTAAAGTTGATTATTCATACTTTTCAATTTCTGTTTACTTTCATAACTAGCATGTAAAATTTGCTCAATACCTCTGTCTGGATTTCCCTACTCAACATCAGATAATGGAAAATTTATGTGCTATTAAGAGATGTTCTATTCATTTACACACAGTATTTTTTTTGTCTCTTTAGTGTTCAAGATACACAAAATGGGAACCAATGACCATGAATTTGCCTCCCAACCCAGCCCAGTGTTGCTCCAAATTTGTTGGGAAAAAAGCTGCCTTTACATAAAATTACAGTCCTGTGTGTATATATTTATTCTCAGTGTTCCTTCAGGGTAGTAGAATAAATAATAAAAGCATTATTCTTCAGTGTAGATGAATAAGAGAAGTTTACTTTCAGAATTGGTTTTTTGAAAAGACAATGATGATCTCATTGAATCTTTTAGAACCATGTGTTGTTATTATATGAGCAAAGGAAAACATATTTCCATAATAGTTGCACTAGTTTACATTCTACCAAGGTGTCAATAGATTCTTTTTCCCTTCAATCTGACAGTACTTATTGCTGTTTGTTTTTGATGATAATCATCATGACTGGTGAGATGGAATCTTAGTGAAGTTTTTATTTTCATTTCCTTCATGGATATGGATGTTGAACATTTCTTCATTTATCTATCAATGACTTGTAGTTCTAAGAGTTGCCTGTTCAAGTTATTTCCCTATTTTTAATTGCATTAATTGTGGTTGCATTAAGTTTTTGCTATTGAACTTTTAATATTTTTTCCTGTTTAATTTTTGACTCTTTGTTTATTTTGATTTTTTTTCCCGGTCATGGGGCTTGAACTCAGGGTGTGGGCACTGTCCTTGAGTTCTTCAGCTCAAGGCTAACACTCTACCACTTGAGCCACAGCACCACCTCCAATTTTCTGGTTTATTGGAGGAAAGAATCTCTTTGCTGCCTGGGCTGGCTTTGAAATGTGATCCTCAGATCTCAGCCTCCTAGTGCTAGGATTACAAGCATGAGCAACCAGGCCCAGTTACTTTTTGTGGGGGTGTTGTGAGGCTTGAGCTCTGAGCCTAGGTGCTATTCCTCAGCTGTTCAGCTCAAGGCAAGTTTCCAGTTATTAATTCTTTATCAACTGAACAGGTGAAGAAAAACAGAACAGGTTAGTTTGATTGGAACACATTTTATGCACAAATGGAAAGGTCAAAATAGAAACACTTCCCCCTCCTTTGTACAAATAAAAATTTTAGAAAGTATGCACCAGTGCCTCACATCTCTGCTCTAGTTAGGAGACTTGAATCTGGAGGGCCTCAGTTGTATGCCAACAGAAAACTCTGTGGACCCTATCTCCAATTTTCTAGAAAAATGTTCCATTGGAGGCATGGATCAAGACCCCTTGTCCTGTCAAGGAACTGGTAAGGACTTGCTCAAATATGGAGTCCCCAATAGTGACCAGCTTTATTATATTCTGTTGAAAGAATGACTTGAGATAGAAAAGAAAGTGACTTATTCTGTCTTGGGAACTAGTCCCATTCTGCTCCAAGCTTGCAACTTGGAGCAGGTGAAAACAAGTTTGAAGACACTTGACACAAGCTCTGGACACTTGAGTTGTTCAGATTTCCACTTCACTGCCTTCTATTAAAATAATTAAGTCTCAATTCAGCCAAAGATAACTTCGGAGACAATGATAAGTACTAATTGTAGAGGGAGAAGAAAAGTTGTACTACAGGGATTGAAATTCTACAGAGTTTGCTTCTCTCTGACATGGACACATCTGAGAAAAGTAAAGCCTGGGAGTTTATGAAAGGCAAGAGCTTTACACATCAGTGTGATACAAATAGGATCTGGGAGGCCTCAGCTTGGCAGAGAACTGACCAAGGCTTCCACTGCACCACAGCTACTAGGTGAGTAATCCTGATAATTCTTTGAATTATGATATCATGCAAATTTTCATTGGCAACACTAATTTTTCTTTGACTAAAACAGGGTGTTGTTGAGATGGTCTGAGAGCCTACAGATTTCCATTCTTCTTCTTCTTTGGGGCAGGTCTCTGAGGCCAGAAATACGAAGGAGGGCACTTCCTAGAAATACGACTTTAGAACTACTGAATCAATTTGTGCCTGTGTTCAGGATCAAGTTCGGATCATGACAGTGCTCAAAAGAATTCTAAACTCTATATTTGGATGTTTGATTTTGGCAGTCCAAAGATTTGAAAATAATAAAAATAACTTACAAAAAATTTGAAAGGGAAAACAATCATTTTGTACAGAAAAACCATTTTGGTACCAACAGTGTGTGAACAATTACATATATCATGATCATCTCTTAAACTCTAAAGCGTTCTAAGTTATGAAATACTTTCCCACAATTATATCATCATTACTGATGAATTCCCTTCAGAGAAGTGTTCGCTGGATGCAACATCTTCTCATCATACACAAATGATTTTGAATGTTGTCAAGGGAACCCTCTTCCTCTTTCTAACTGCAATTGGCATTGTAGGGAACATCATTGTTTTTGTGAATTTTATATATAGATTTTGGAGAGGAGTTCAAAAGAAGTCTACACACCTTATTCTCATCCATTTGGCTTTTGCAAATACTATAATACTTCTTTCCAAAGGATTAGCAATGGCAATAGCAGCTTTTGGTTTGAGATACTTGCTGGATGATATAGGCTGTAAGGTCCTTGTTTTTCTACAGAGGGTGGCCCGGGACTTTTCCATCTGTACCACCACTCTCCTCACTGTGGTCCAGGCCATCACCATCAGTTCCAGAAGCTCTCTGTGCTGGAGATTTAAGCCAAAGACACCAAGGAAAATTCTTCCCCTGTTTCTCTTCTTTTGGATCCTCACTTACTTGAAAAGCATCATCGTATTTCGACACACCGCAAATGTCAGAGAAAACACATCAGAAGCTGCTAAAACTAACAATTATTGTTATTTTCAACCAGAAAGTCAGAAAGCCAAATGGGTAGCTCTTATTCTAATGGCCATGCACAGTGCCATGTTTCAGGGTGTCATGGGCGGGGCCGGTGGCTACATGCTATTTCTTCTCCACAAGCATCACCAACGTGTTCTCTACCTTCAGAGCTCTCACCTCCACAAAACTCTTCCTGAAATGAGAGCTGCTCACAGTGTTCTCCTTCTGATGTTCTGTTTTCTTTTCTTCTATTGGACAGATTGTGTTCTCTATCTATTTTTAAATTCTGTCTTAGAAACTACTTCTGCAATGTTAGACATTCAAGGCATTTTGACCATTGGGTATGCATGTCTCAGTCCCTTTGTGCTGATTCAGAGAGATCGAGGTCTGACCTGTTGCAATTTTCTTTCAGAAAGAAAGACATTGAAAATATCAGTTGCAGTGATTTGTCAGTGATAGAAATAAGCCTTAGTCTTGTTTTGTTGTTTGTAAAACAAAGTAATTTCAAGGTAGCTTAAACATGTAACATTTGATTACCCAATGTCAATAATGGAGACCTGCAATATTGAACTAGCACTGAAATTTTGGACTACAAGAGTGACACAGAATCTCATTGCCTATTCTGATAACCTCAAGGACTGACTCTAATACTTGTTTTGGTGAGCCTAGCTTTTTAGTAGCACAGTACCTGGATTAAGAAGCAGGAAATGAACTTGGTTAGTTTTTCAACATCACTAGTATATTCTATATGCCAAGAACTTCATTTCTAACACTTGATCATACATATATACTTAATATTTGAGAATTACAGTCTAAAAATTGTATATTGTTTGATTCATTATTTCAAAGATACTATGTAAAGCGTAGCAGATGCAAATTTTTACTTGAAAATAGCCATAAATATTCATCCATAGAATAGGATTGATTGTATGCAGATGATAAAAGAATAAGTTCGATAGCTTCTCATAAAAGCAAAGTCATTAATGGGACTAAAATTCAGGGAAACATATTTGTCTTATGTGATATGAATGAAGAATCTCTGGACAAACATAAGAGAAAGTGTACATTGTGAGAGAAATTGGACACAGCAGCTGAAATTCCACTTGACTCCTTTCTATGTTTTTTATTGTAGTTAACAATATAAAGTAATATCTTTTTTAAATGGATAAATGAGTCATATTGGGGAGGAAAAAGCATTGAGTTTTTCCTAGACACCACTCATTAGGGCCCTGGCATGTTCCATCATGCTATCATTGTCTTTATCTACAAATAGCTATAAATTAATATGACTCTACATTAATTTAACCAAGGGTTGCAATTTCTTAAAACGGAACCATTCAATACAGGTATATGCATAGCATACATACTTTCATCAGTAAAATAGCTGAAAAAGATATTTAATATATTGATGCCATTTATTATAAGCACAGAACACAAAAGCTTGGATCAATTGGGTAGAGACAGGCTTACAAATTTATGCTTTTAGAATGCATCGACAAAGCGAGGTGTTGGTGACACTTGTAAGCCTAGCTTTTCTGGAGGCTGAGAACTGAGGATCATGTTTTCATAGCCAACCTAGACAGGGAAATCCTATGAGTTTTTTCTTTCTAATTAACCAATGAAGTGCTAAAGGTGGAGATATGGCTCAAGGGTAGAATGCTATCCTTGAACAGAAAAAGTTTAGGAACAGCATCCAATAGTTTAAGTCCCTCATTGGCAAAAAAAAAAAAAAAATGTTCTATTAGTTATCATGATTGTCCATATGAACATACAGGATTACATTGCCCTACGTAACAGTAGTAAATGTCTGTTCCTTTTTGAGTTAGTAGTACTATTCATACACAATTGTTAAATTACCTAAATTACTCCAAGTAGAGAATCTTTCTTTTGCATATAGCTGCGACTTGCTTGAAGGCAAACAATAATTTATCTTTCTTTCACTGCTTTGTGGAAAAGTGTTTCCTTTGCATTCAGCATAAAGAACAAAACAAAGCAAAATCATTCTGAATCAATTATTAGTATTAAATTCAAACAAAGTATGTCGCAATCTGGAAATGACCTGCTAGCATATGAAGTTTGTTTCATGAAGAATGTATTACTGAATATTAAGAACAAGAAGGCTGAGTCGGATGGTTTACAGCTGTCAACACAGCTGTGGGGATCTCGGGTTAGGGGATGAAATGTCAAGCTCAGCTTAGCCTGAATAGAGAGACTCCATCTCAAGGAAAAGAAGATGAAGGTGGGTGTGGTTTACACAAAGAAGATATAATTCTTACCTCATGTTATAAATTGCTAGCCTCTAATATTACTTTCTTAAAACCGTGCTATTTTCAGCTCCACTTTGATTTTTCAGAACTGAGTTGACAATAGTTAAAATGCATCGAAATCATCAGCAGAAAATTAATAAAAAATTAAAATACTCCTAAATTTTTTATACATCTAAATGATTGAAGGTAGCAATAAAACACAGACTCATTTTCTTGATCCATTCATCTACTGAGGGGCATCTGGGTTGGTTCCATATCTTAGCTATGGTAAATAATGCTGCAATAAACAAGAAAATATGGTATATATACACAATGGAATTCTATGCCTCCATCAGAAAGAATAACATTGCCCCATTTGTTAGGAAATGGAAAAACTTGGAAAAAATTATATTAAGTGAAGTAAGCCAGGCCCAAAGAAACATAGGTCCCATGGTTTCCTTTATTTGCAATATCTAGTATATGTATGAGTCAAGCGAAAAAGTTCAGATAATGTGATGTTAGGAAAATGAACCCTTAGAGTGTATTTTAATGTTTTTTTTTCATGCATTTGTTTATAACGCATTTATAAAATTATCTCTTTGTTGCTTTGTATGTCACTCCCCCACAGTATAACCCCTGCTTTCACTATATTTGATGTCAGTATAACTTGTGGAGAAGATGGGGAAAAAACAAGTCGTTTAAAGATACAGGTGGACCTGTTGCAACAATGAGAAGTACAAGTTGTCATGTGGAAAACGAGCTTTACAACGTTGGTGCAGGGGGCTGGGGGGGGGCGGGTTGGGCCTGGGGTAGGGGGGGGAGGCTAGGAAGAGATGTGAAGTGTAAACAAAGGAGGAGGCTGCAATGCTTGATAAGAAATGTACGCATTATCCTGCCCATGTAATTGTAACCCCCCTGTACAGTATGTTCACAAAAAATGAAATTAAATTAAATTAAAAAAAAAACACAGACTCATACAATTGCATAGTTTACCCACATGGACAGAAGTCACATCACTTGTGTTTCCCTTCTCATACATCCACAAGTACTGTTTTCCACTATACTAGACATGAACTCTGCATTGATTTTTGCCTGTGAAATCTTATAGAAGATTGGGGGGAAAAATTGCCTGAAAACTTCAAATGGCAAAATGAACATTCAAGTTCAAGAGACTCAGAAAACCCTAAGAAGGCAAACCTCAAAACATCAACACTTAAAATGAGGTATTTTTTAAGAAAGATACTATTTACCTGACTTATGTAACTGTAAGCCCTCTGTGTAGCACCTTTATAATGTCAAGTAATACATTTTAATCCATACACACACTCATCACTTAAAACAAGGTTCTAAAAGTTAAACAACTGAAAAATGTGAAACGGTTCTCAGAGAAATAAAAGATTTAACTCAAAAGAACAAATATTTATTTTAAGAAAATATGAACCTGAGATAAAACTCTGGTAATTACAATTTCTTTAGTAAAGCCATAATCCTGTGGTTCGTAGAAATACTTTGGATCTCCAGAACATAGTTTCTATTCAAAGTTGGTATTCATCCAATTCTAAGAAATCTAAGTAGATCTCCTGTTACACAGCACACTAGTGAATGACTGCAGTTGTTTTTGTTCAGGCCTGTGTGGTACATTGGCAGCACACCTTTGGAGTGATATCACTGTGATGGGGCTCTGGCTTCATCTCCTTTGAAGGAGTTATGATATGGATTCAAATCTGAAAATTGATTATGATACATTTAGTGACCCAAGCCAGATTTCTGTTTATTTACTCTGTGTGTTTTTCTCATTGTATAGATCAATGAGAGCTCTTTCCTCCTACAGTGTACATACAGATACCATAGAACAAAATCACCTAATCACTGCCAAGATCTCTGTGATTGAAAGTATTCTGATCATGATCCATTGCCATAGCCACACCCATCATCTCTTTGGTGACCAAGTCCTACAAGTGATCCTGTTCCTTTAGGAGAAGATCACCCTGTGGTGTTCACAGATTCCAACTCACTAGGTAGTATGGATCAGAGAGATATTCTAAGATGCCTAAGTACTCTATCCTCATGAAGTAGTTGTCACAGAAAGGCAGGGAGATTGGACAACCCACAGACTCTGCTATCAGTTCCTCAGGTAAGAGTATAAACCTCCTGTCTTCTCTCCTCTTCACTCCCTACACACAACTGTTTTATGAGTTAAAAAAAACATGTGTTATCTGAATGTTAGGTCTCTTATTCCACTTACTTCACTGCACTCCTTTACTTCATGAAGTATCAGGCAATGGGAGGAGCTCAGGAAAGTGTTACTTAAGGTAAATCTGCATATCTGCCCATGGTGAATATAGAATTACCTGCCTCCCTCTCCTTGGGTCTTCTGTGGTGTCCAGTGAGAAAGAGACCATTTTTGAAAATGGTATTAGTGATACAGAACTGAGGTGTGAATCTCATAGAGAAGCCTACACACATACTCTCAGCACTCATGGACAATGACCATAGAAGTTGAGCATCTAAAAAACAATCATGCTGGGGCTGGTGGCTTACACATGTAATCCTATCCACTCAGGATGCTGAGAGCTGAGGATCACAGTTCAAAGACTACCCTAGAAGGAAAGTGTAACACTTCTATCTCCAAATTACCACTAGAAAACCTGACTTACAGCTGTGCCTCAAAGTGGTAGAGTGCTAGCCTTGAGCTAAAGAAGCCAGGGACAGCGTACAAGTCCTGATTTCAAGCCCCAAGCACAACCAACAAAAAAAAAGACAATCCTGGTTTGGCACTGAACATTTCAAGGAAAAATACCTCTAAGACATACCATAAAACAGAAGTGAATACTTCAGTAAGACACATGAAGTGACCCAAGCAAACAGCCAGAAGTGAAAGCAGGACACACACCATCCCAGCCCTTCATAAGTCCCCAACTGCCATGTCCTGGACAATATGTACAAGAGGAGATGTAGATTGTACCATTGGATGATCTTTTCTATCAATGAAGGTGTACTCAGAAAATATTCAGAAAGTGATCTCTGTGAATTCTCAGAAGTTTCTTTAACATTATTTCCTGGCTTTGATGATGAATGGAGGATATGGGATAAGAGTAAAATCAAGTTGAAGAAACTTGGACCATTTAGGGAACTCTTCATCATTACCATGACTCCTTATCAATGCACATTCATTATAATTCACTCAGCAAGTTTATGGCCTCAGCAATT